TGATCAGCCGATTTCTCGTGATCTAAAATACGATTAATATTTTTCCAATCCGAAAAACCCTCGTTTGTACATGCAATACTTCCTGTTTTTAAGGTATTTGATTTAAATAAACAGCATGGAAAACAGAATACGGCTTTACTATTTTTAGAATAAATCAACCAATTTCTGTCTATAACTTCATTGTTCGGTAAAGTTTTTTTAAACCAATAAGGGGAAAATCGACGACCATCGACTGACATAGATTTGCTAAAATCAGCATCTTTACCTTGATCAGGTTCTTGCGTTACGAGGTAAACTCTAATGCTATCCGTAATTGGGGGCCAAGAAGGTGGATCGTTACAATTTATAAGTTGAAAAAATGTTTCAAAACTAGTTGAAGAAGATGTAGGTTCACGAATATCCTGAATTATTTCACTTGATTTTGTTGTAATAGAACTAACACAAGTTTCAATTTCTTCACCTACTAATATTGTCTTATTATTAAATTAGTCATTTGAATCACCGGAATTTTCTTCTGAAATAAAAATTAATGATTATGAATACTATTTATTTCTGAATATATCTCGGTCTTGCAAACGTACATTTGGTACAACAGTTAACGCACGAGGAACAGACAACAGTAACAATTATTTACGATAGACAAATAATAATAAAATTGACATAATATAGATAATATATTATATAAAATCACCGAAATTGTAGAAATCGTTTAAATAATTATAAATACTAACTACATCTTTTCAGTGGCGGTTTGAAAAGGCAGTGGCGGCGCCTCACCTAAAATTTTGTAGCAAATAATACTCTAAAAATATATTTCTTGGTTCACCGACAGCAAACATTCGCTAATAATTTTAAACATTTTTATGATTTTATTTGAAAAAAATTCTTCTTTACGAAGTTTAATAATATGAATTATCATTTATTTTATTATAGTATAATATTATTCCGTGTTTATTACCAAAAATAGCAATAAACCGATAAGAAATGCACGAAATAATAATTACGTAAACAAACGCTCATATATCAGCTTTTGGTACTACTTTGAAGAAACCGCCAACCGGAGCAATTTTACAGTTTACTACCTTAACTTTTAATTAGAAAATAAACTAACCTTTATCTTCTTGATATTCTTTCAAGTTTGACACTAATTCAGTCGATTTTTCATCTAAAACAGAACCTTTAGAAAACCAGTCTTTCATTTGTTTTGACAATTGTACGTCTTAATTTGCTATTTTTTTCTTAATACTTCGATTCTCTGCTCCACTTCGTTTCTTTTTATTATTCATTATTATTTTTTAATAGTTAAACTATCTGTATTGTTTAAAAACACATTAATTTGGTATAAATAATTTGTACCTGTTTCTTGTTTGAAAAAAAAAATAGAAAGCTACACATTTGCCGAGTGATCAATAAATACTAAGTCAAATTATTAAAATAGTAATAATTACACAAAATTTGTTCACTATTTATAAACTGATGTATCGTACGTATATCAACTGATATAATATAGATATTAAGCATGTACGTCGATCGATTCGTCGATTAAACAGAAAATTAAGATAATATAATATAATATACTACTGTCTACTATTAACAAAATACCCATATAAGTTATAATGGTATACTATTCTTATCGGCGATCAACGTCGTCGTAATTTCGGGGAATAAAATAAACATTATGTTTACGGATTAGTGCGTAGAAATGAAAAATATTATTTTGACAATATTTTTTCATAAATTAATCATTTAATATTTTTGCGCCCCCCAGCATTAGGCACCCAAGGCAAACGCCTCGCTCGCCTCACCCTAGTTACGGCTCTGCTATTAGTACAGCAGTACACAGTTTAATAGTAGTTCACACTACTAATGGGCAATGAAGTATTTGTTATCTAATTGTAAAAAGCTGTTTACCATTTTTACAGGATTTCGAACAACGAACCACAGAGAATTTTTAAAAAAGTTCGCGAACTATTTCATTTATACAATGCTACCAATTTTTTTTCGAACTGTGTTAAGTTACAGATTAACAGTTCAGAATATTTCAAATGAACTATTCGTTCGCGAAATTAACATCTCTATTGTGTGTGACTTTATTGCAAGTACGTGTAATTTTTTTACAACATGGATTCGCGTCACGACCTAGCTTTTATAATTGCGCATAAAATTGTACAAAAACGGAAGATAAAAGAAAAAGAAATATTAGGTAAAAAAATGTCCACCCATTGAAAAAATGGGTGAACCGTCGAAGTGATTTGGGAGTCGCGAAGCCGTTTTCTTGTCACGATTTCTATATAACTTGTGGTTAACATTCCACAAAAATTTTTTTTCCTCATAAAAATTGATTAACTCAAAATGTTGTCATCTGTCAATTTTCGTGCACTAATTTTAAATAAATAAATTTAATTTAAATAAATAAATAATAATTTATATAAATTAAAAAAATGTATATATTATGATAAATGAGCATGTGCTCTCAGTTCTTCAAACACTGTTGAAAGACTGAAGACTATATCTCAAGACCAGAAATGAACATTTCCACTTACAAAACATGCATTCTCGGCGACATGTAACGACTTGTCTCTACGAGTACCTACCCTCAGGCTCATATACATTTGTGAGTATAGTCTCGAGACTATTTAATCTCAAGTGGACACTTACTGTAAGATGTTATATTAATTGATACGCTCATAAAGTATATGGTTTGTATTCATAAACAGCAAACAACGTAAAATCCAAGAAAATGACAAATAGAAAATAGGTGGTTTTTACAATAATTCCGTAAATTGTTTATAATTTTGAGCTAATGGGCGCTACAAATTACTTGTGCCATACTGCCCCACGGGAGCATCATATTTATATTTTGTTCGTAAATAACCGATATAATATTTTCTATAGATTGAAATAATTACGAAAATAATAGAATCAATAAATTATTTTTACATTGATTTTCAATAAAAATCAATAGAAAATCGATAGAAGACACATCACGTGCGAGACTTTATATTTAAGTTTATCTCGAATAATTTTATATTTATTTGCCTGTTGACCTCCATTTGAAGAACATTGGTCACTGGATACTTCTACTGTTTTACAGGTACAGTCATTACAGATTCTTATAAATTATTCAACACCAAATTTGTTTGTATTGTTTAAAATTTAAGTTTACAATTATAAACAAAAGTATGTATAATATAATAATTATTTGATCAAGTGTCAAAAATTGTGAATTGTGATAGGTACGCATTTAATATATGTACGCGTTATATGACGTGTTAATCGATGTCATACTAGAAGATTTTTTACTTTGGTAAGATCTCGTTAATCCGAACGGCCAACGGGATTGAAGAAAGGGGTCATTCGGATTTCCTAGGTATGACTAAAAAAAAATTGTATGATAAAATATATATATTTTTTTGTTTCAATTGGTAGAGATTTACTAGTTTGTAAATGTATTGATCTAATCTGTTGTTAAATTTATATAAATAAATATAATAAAATCAACATTTAATTTATTTTATAAATAGTGAATGTGAAAATATGTATGATATATTGAAGTAAATAATTTTGTTACATGTTAAGGGCGGCAAAACTTAAGTTTGCCCGTCTATTTAAATGCTTAAATCGGGCCTGACGGCAACTTTTTCAGTTGCAACATGTTGCTAATTTAAAAGTTGACACATTTTGACATAAGTTATTGCATGTTTATGTTGCCAGCTACAAAAGTTCCTATTTGTTTCTAGTTTCGATTAAAACCGAAACACGAGGATACATGTTTCCACTAAACAATGAAAAATTGGTAACGAATAGTGACAGGCAGCAACAAGTTATCAGCGAGGACAGAATGTTCCAGCCGTGTGTTTCTCCATATTCATTTCTGTCTTGCAGGGTTGGTCGAAACCATCATTTGCGTTTTTTAATTTTTGCTTTTCCACTAATTATCACATACGCAGCAGCAAGTGCTAAAATGTCATTATTGCCCCACATAATTAACATACAAATTGATGAGTAACTGATGATGACTTGATGATTAAAGATAATATTTAATATATATTTAAATAGGTACCTTAAATTGTTGTAGCATAAATACATTTAACGAAATTCTTCACATTGACAAAACCTCAAAATTACTTTATTATGTATTTAATCTTAAAAATTATTTAATTCTAGTACTAAATGTACTAAAATGTTCCACATGTGTGGCCACATTGTCACAAGAAAAACCGAGTTACAGGTTTTTAATTGTTTCTATTAAGTGGCGTAGACAAGGGGAGGAGTTTGGGTGTTTAAACCCCTCTTTGTCTTTCCAAATAAAATAAATGTATAATTTATATTATTGTATATTTACAATATTACAGCTGGAAGATATTTTGAATAAATTATCTATAAAAACAAGAAGAATACGTTTGTTGTAGATACACGGTTAATATTATAGTTATGTTCATAATATTATTTGGATTTATGTATAATTCTATAAACAAATAAAAAATAAATAATTCATATACTGAGGTGTTTATAACATATAATTATAATATTGTATATTCACAAGTTCATAACTGAACTTTGTTCTTGAATAATTCTTCAATTGAGCAACAAATCTAACAAAAACTAAAAAAAAACTAAGTTTAACTTACACTTAACCCCCCCCCCCTTGCAAAATCTTGGCTATGCTACTGTAAGTTTTTATTGTAAATTTGTTGCTATAATGTGGACAGTGTGTTTATAAATGTTCCAGTTTATCCCAAGGAAATATAAACAATTAAACACTTGACAACATTCAGGAACTAATTGTTGCTCTAGTGTGGACCCGGCTTTACATTCATACTAAAATACTATAATTAAATGGATAGCACCATAATCGACGGTTTTATCATTCCCACCTTTGGTCACCATCGCTGCTACAGCGCCATCGTACCTCATCAAGTTAATACAATATGGTTTTGAGTGGAAAATAACGTACTGTGATAATAATTTATTGTTAATAAAAATTAAAAATAGAAAAATAATGATAGGTAAATGATAAAATATGCCGTTTTACTATCTCAATACATAAGAGTGATATATTTTATTGTATGGGTTATTTTATGAAAAACGGGACATTTTGGTGTTCCAAAGAGAGTTGTCAGGATGACAGGACATCAAATTAAAAAATGGGATGTTCCCATATTATACGGGACGTTAGGCAAACCTAAACTATGGTATAGATTCTACACTATGCTAAGTGTAGTATTCCTTAATATTTAGTTATACATTTTAAAGCTTCAACATACAAAACTACTTAACTTATAAAGTTATAACACAAAAATGACTATTATTTAAAGTAATTTTTTTGATTAATCTAAATATTAGGAATTATAATTTACCATATTAATATAATGAAATGTAAAGTGTAAACTTTAAGTACACAAATTTCAAATCTAATTCAAAAATATAATAATAGGTAAGTCCAGTTAATTTAAAATATTGTATTATAACATTGAATCCTTTTGGACTACTATAATTTTCAATCTTATTTCAGTCATCTTCATCATCATCTTCATCACTTGCACCCTTTAAAATTTCAACATTAAAATTTAGCGTCTGCTTACCCTAAAATCAAATCATGGTTTTAAAAAAAATACACTTTAAAACAAATAATTTTCAACTGACATTAGAAATAGTTTGAATATTTTTCTTAACAATAACTTGTTTTGTTTTGACCAACTTAATTTTCTTTTGTTCTTGAATGTCTAGACACTCATATCTTGACATTTGAAGTTTATAATACCCATCATCATCTTCTATGTACCTAAATATACAAATATATACATCAAATTGGAAATAAAAACTTATACTTATAAAACATGGTGTTGAAATAGAAATACATACCTAAAACGTTTTAAACCTGATGGCTTATGAAAGTTATGTTCCATTTCTAAATGTTTAGTTAGAAATGAGCCTCTGAGAAATAAATCATCACACAGATGACAATAATATTTATATAATTCTTCAGTATTATCGTAATGTTCCATATTTATATGCTTTCTCATTGCGTATTCACTACGACATGAAAAATCACAGTCATCTTTTGAACATTTAAATAATGGACCTGCTGTATGTTTTTTCAAGTGGTTGTTGAAATCTAGTTTCCGCACAAATCTAAAAGTTTTTAATTTTTAATATAGACAATAATGTACCAATAATGTATTGTGTTTGTCTTACTTGGAATCACATAGTTTACATTTAAATGGTTTTATACCAATGTGACGATAACGTATGTGAGTGGACAGTTGTGAGGCTCTAGAAAAGGATGCGTCACATAAATGACATTTGTAATAATTTATATGAAGGCGGACGTGCTGTTTTAGGAGTCGTTCACAAGAGAACGTTTTTTTACACAACGAACATTGATTGCTTTTGTCTGTAAAACAAAAAAATCATAAAATTGGTCTTTGATTATAATTTCTTATTACATTACCTTTATTTGACTGTCGACAATGATCTTTTAGTTTTGTGTGTGTAGCAAACATAATACCACAGTTAGGGCAAGCACATGACTTTTCCTGGGTGTGACTCTTAATATGATCAACTAATCGATAACGTGCAGTAAATTGTAAAGTACAATCTATGAAACATTATTTCAAATGTTATCACAATAAAAAATTAGCATTATTATTGGTTTTAATAATACTAACCTCTCCATGGGCAGTTAAAATTATATTTTTCAAATTCTGAAATTTGAAAATGTTCAGCTACATGATATGAATAATACTGCATACATTCAAACCTTTCATTACAATTTTCCCAATTGCATTCAAATTCGTTAGGTAAATCTGGCAAGATATTAGTACCTTCACCATTTAACTTGCATCCCTTATTTACATACATATAAAAAAAAATAATTAAGTGAATTAATAATTGAGTGATAACATAATATTGGATATACATACAGGAATTTCACAAAGAGTTAAAACCGCTAAACCAATACATTTAAGACGTGTATGGTATGCATGGAAATTCACATGTGTGGTAGATTTCACCTCACAATGTGATTGAAATGTACAACTGTTCCATAAGCATGTAAACCATTCTGAAAATTAAAATAAATTTTTTTATTTAAAATTGTATCATATTATTTTTAAAACAATGCCAGATAAGACAGCATACTATCTTTATTGCTTTGCCATTCTTCAGTCCACAAGTAATCAACATGTCCACTGACATGATAAAAATAATCATTGATATGTGATGATTCGTAATCACATTCTTCCCATGCGCAGCTGAAATTCATTTCTACTTTATCCAAATCAAGTTTCTTTATCCTAGAAGGTTGCTTCATACGTTTTTTTAAATTATTTAAATCCAAACTTGACTCATAAGAAGCTGTGTCATCAAAACTATTGGTAACTACACATATTCGAATTAAATAAAATACAACCTATTTAATGGTTTTCTAATGCAATAAAATCAGTTTATTAAGTACTGATTTCAGTGCAAGTTATTACTATATTTGCAGTTACTATCATTAAATAATTATATTCAATAAAAATATACATTTTATTTTATTTTATATTCTTGTATCAGTATAATGTGTGTGTATATCAATATAAAATCAACTAACAAATTAATTAAAATTAAACTCACATTTTTTTTTCGCAACATATTTTTTTTCTTCTGCTACATTTCCTTCACGATGAGCAAAAACCCACTGTTGACACCAGTACTGTTTGTCCTTCATCATGGACATGGAACCACAGTCAGTTTTTTGATCAACGGATAAGTATGTTTGCGCGGCAAACATGGAGTCTAAACACAAGAATTCATTCATCAATAACTGATTACAATTAAACGTTTATGATCTGGAATCGGAGGAAAGTAAGACATTACTAAGATATTTATTGCACAATACAAACCATCATTCGATTCTTCGGTTCTCCGTTCCCTCTTGCACAGGAAACCGGTGTCACTGTTGCGTTCAGGGTTCATTGTGAATCTGTACAGTTTCAAGTACTTATGTTTTAAATAATATGACAGAAAAAATCCATTTTGTATTTTATTTGTAGAACAATAATCGAACCATTAAGTTCTTAAGGATACGTTGAACGTTGATTGAATCAACTTGATTTTTACTTTTAAACTTTTGTGTTTTTATCACGGTTTAAGATAAATAAGGTATATTTTAAACCATGGTCACAGTATTTTCCACTTGGGGATGGTACAGTTCTCCCGATTTTGATAACAATAAGTTATCACCAAAATCGAATTACGGGAGATCGGTTGTGCCAGCATTAGAAAAATAAATTTCCCGTATTATAATAATAATTAAAAAAAGTTTTTTTTACCTAGCTGACGTAACCAACGTAAAATTACAAAAATAAATAATAATAAAATCATGTTTCGGGAGAATTGTACCCGTCCCTTAACATAGATATTAAACATATTATTTTATTAGTTTAATATCATATTAGATATTAGTTTAATATCTATGTCCCTTAACCACTATAAAGTTTATAGATAACAACGCGGTTAAAGATATACTTATACTAGGTATATCTTTAATCGTGGATAACACCGACTTGAAACGAATGTCAATAACAAGGTGGATATATAACCAAACCTATCCAACTTGGTTAATAACATTGACTCCAAGTCTAATCTCTTTTCTCTATTCTCAAATCTAATCTTTTTCCTATGCTCCAAATTGAATAAAGTTAGTAATTACGGGGGGGGGGATTCTTTCTTTAAGCGAATGTGACTCCATCTGCTAGTAAATTTAAAATTATTATTTTTTTTTTTTTTTAGTAAACTTTTATGATACTTTATACTTGAGTATTTTAATTTTACAAGAAATAATGCATTTCAACACATGATACAAGCATTTTTACTACCTTTTTTTAATTAAATTATCTACTATCTACACTATTAAATGGAACAGATAATATATATAATAAAATCAATATTAAAATATATTTTATTTGTCTTATGTAACTAGGTAAGTACTACTTACATAGTTGAAACCAAGGCTTTGCACCCGAATAATTTTTTCGGGTTTCGGGTGTTCAAACACTGCAAAACAACATTTAAACAAACGTTTGGGTGTTAATAACCGTTATTATTCGGGTTAATAATTCGGGTTTTGGTTAATTCCGATGTTTTAAAAAAAAAATAGTTATGTGGATTTTGGGTGTTTGATTTTTCAAGGGTTTTTAGGGGTATTACGGGTTCGGGTTAATTCGGGTGCAAAGCCCTAGTTGAAACCTTACTAAGTAGGTACTTATATCGTTATTAGTTTTGACACTATTTTTGTCGAATTTTTTTGCTTCATATTTCTATTGTGTGACGAAGTTTCATTCGCATTATGATATAATATTAAAATATTTTTGTTACAAAAAGAGAGTATTTTTTTCACAACACATATTAAATGTGTACAGTCGTGGACCCATAGTAATTAATATTGGTGTGGGGGGGGGCATTTTATATTGTAAACATAATATGATAAAAAAAATTCAATAATTTTATATTATAACTATTACCGTTTACGATAAATATTTTTTAACACTGTGAAAAAATAAACTTTCAACTAAAAGTTTAAAAAAAATAGGTAGGTACATTGAAAATTATAGAGCAAAGCGTAATTTTCTTTTGGTTTTTGAAACCATGTCAATACATAGTTGTTATAGAAAAAATATAATTTATATCATTGCTTGACATATAAAATTATAATTTTTTTTTTCGTTTTGTTTCGTGACATTTGAGGGAACCATCGTTTCCATGCCCCCCTCTCATTGTATCCGCGACTGATTGTGTATTATATGGCGTAATAAATAAATCATTTATATAGGTACCTAATAAAATTTATAAACTATGATAATCATTGGTCTTGAACTACGATTAAAATGTAATAATAGATCATATGTAATCAGTACAATATTGTATAAAACGATTGGTGGGAAAATATCAAAGTTGTCTTTATGATAAACCGGGTGGCTAAAGTTCTGTCAAAAGGAACCTCAACCAGCTCATTCTATATACTTTCCTGGCAATTAGACCGACATAATAAATACAAAACTAAAAATCCCTACATAATACAATTAGTATTGAAGGAAATTATTATATTTAATCAGTGGTCAGTGACTGCTTATTTAAAAGATTTAGATTATATAATCATTAATATAGATATAGAAATATTCAATCACAACATATGGTCGTATAAAATAGTTTTATACATTCATATGAATGCAATCTTATATCAAACAAAATAAATAGTAACAGATTTATAAAAAATATTAAAAATATATAATGTAATATTAAATATTATATATAAATATTATAGTACATCACATTATAAACACTTAACATAAAAAAATAACGAAAATGATGTATGTATACATATAAAAATTAAAAAAAATAGCTTATACATAAAGTAAAAATGTCAATCTTTAACAATATAAATCATTTTTCAAAAGAATTTAACACAATAAAAAGTATAAATTTGAATAAGTTGAAATTTATACAAATGGAACAATAATAATTAATAAAATAAGTATAATATCAACTTTAAAAAATATACAAAACCAAAAAAAACAAGTAAAAAAAAAAAAATAATAATAACAAAATGTTAATAAAAAATATTAATAAAAATAAAAAAAATAAATTAATTAATAAAAAATAAAATAATAATCAAAAAAACAAAATTCATGGTCAATTTTGTTGCAAATAAGAAGAAATAGTTTTATTGATAATGTCCAAACAATTAACAGCAACAATGTCTTTATAAATGGATTCATCTGAAACATAAGATAACATTTAAGTTATAGCTTTAAAATAATAAAACATGTTGAATAAATTAGTTTTATCCAAAATAAAAAATAAAACTTACACATAAGTTTATCGATCGGAAAGAAGGAAAATAAGGATTGGACTTGCTTTTCCATAATATCTGTAATATTGAGATCCTTGATATGTTCTTTTACATTATACAAAACGTTCATTAAATCATCTATACTTTTGTCATTAATTTTTGAACAGAACACAAAAGCATGGCCCATTTCAACAGATTTGATCACTCCGGTCTGAAAGAAAATTTAAATTAAAATTTAATACAAATTATATTGAAAAAATAGCAATAGATAATTTAAAAGTTCTGGTTCATAAATTATAAATACTTTACGGAACATATTAACAAGCACATAGAAAACACCAACATTAACTTGAGAAAGTAATGGATATCCAATAAACAAAAAACTGTCAGAAGACTTAAGTTTCTTCAGTGATTCTAAAATTAAAGTTAAAGAGTCAAGCTGTTTTCTACTATTGTTTATACAATCATTGGCATAAATCGATGTTACATCACAAACAATCAATCGACCATGGATCGCTTGTTTTAGAATTTGAAGCCGAAAATATCTGTAATACATAAGAAAAACAAAATTAAATATTAATGAGTTAATATTAATATTATATTAATACTTGATATTAAGTTAAAATATAATTTTATTTACATAGAATCAAAAATTAAAAAGTATACTCTCTTCGCTTGATAGCGTCTTCTGTTGGAACAGCAAATAATGATCTTGCTCGATTGTTGTAATCAATAAGTTCATTCACACAAAATTTTGAGTTACGAATTATAGAAACAGGCTAACCCATTTGCATATTCAAACTAAACAATTCAATTTTGGCATCCTATAAAAAGAAAAGAAGAAAAACAACAAATTATCATTTAGTTTTAAATAATATGAATATTATATAAATTATATAATTATATTATATTTAAATATATTGATACATAAGATTTATAATTCTACTGACCTCGGAGGTAAACCACGAAACTTCTTTATCATACTTCCATGGAGTTTGCTTATAACTATTCACTTGATCTTGAAGTAATTTAGCTTCATCTAATTCTAGGTATTCTACTCGACGCATTTTTTCTGTAAACGAACAATTCATATCTGTCTTCGTTGTTGAAACTTTCGGTAGATCAAACTGAATGGCCTATTGAACAATAAATAATTTTGTGTTAATCATAATTTAATTTTTAAATGTTTAAACGTTAAATTAAAATATTATATTTATTCATTTATTTTGAAATTTAACTCCAAAAAGACAATGTTCAATGAAAGTTAACTAAAAAAAAATAATACAATAAATCATACTCTGAGTTTATTTAGTCCAACAATTTCCTGAGAAGGGTAAATTGGTTTTATTTTAAATCTATTGATATATGTTTTAGGGACACAATACTATAATACATGGTACAACCCCTTTATATTTGTAATCTGTAATAATAATATCCGAATACATAATGTAACGGTAAAATGTTCAATTAAATCAAAGGATACTGTTAAATACTTACAATTTTACCAATATTGGTCATAATAATAGAAGTGTGTAGAATTTTTTCACGGAGTATATAGAATAATACTATTGATTAAATATAGATACATTCAATATATTTAATTAATGATAATGATCTCTTCACTGGAAGACTAAACGGTCTAAGACCTAGGGGTCGACCAAGACAAAGATTGGAGGACATAGTGAAAACGGATCTCACGGAAATATCAGAAGAATTAATAAGGATTGAAGATAGCGAAGATGATGATAGTAATTAAAGGAGCAGTGGTTAAAGTTGAAAGATACACAGGACGCTCAAAAACCAACTTCGGAAATAGAATTAATAGGAATATTATAATTTTGGTGTGCTTATTAGTTATTATTGGCAAATAGTAACATGGGTTCATGATATTCTATTTATTTTTATAATTGTTGATGGAATAAAGTTTATGCATTGGAGTAGAATTTTTTACAGTATGTGTATTAATTAATTGGAAAGTCATTTAATTTATCATATATCAATATATCAATACTTATGATCTAGAGTAAATATTCGAATGTAGTTTTAAAATGTAATTTATGAGTGATGACTTATTTTTTACAATGATTTAAACATTTTTTTTTAATGAACATTAAAAATATATATATTTTTTTTCAAATTTCAAGATTGTTTTAACCGAATTATATTTAAAAAAATAATACGTCAATAAGAAAAATTAATAGTATGAAGTAGACAAAAAATTTTAAAATTTTAGGTTTTCCTATATTTTTTATGCAAATCCAATAATAAACCAACTTTTTGTTAATATTTTATGCAATACTAGCTGAATAACCCGGCTTTTCCCGGGTGCAGTTTTTTTGTGTTACCTACGTATAACTTTTTATTTTATCAGTTTTATATTACAGGTTGCTTTTATATATGTTATATATGCTTTTATATATATTACCTGTGTATAGTAAAAACCAGAAATTGGTAAAAATTAGTATATTTTATTATTTTGAAGACAAATTGTAAAACGTTTGATTAATTGATTTTTTGTTCATCGTAAGAGATAGTCCACTACATTAAAAAAAAAAGGCTCCATCCAAATATTTGTATGAGATCTTGAGTCATGGTAATTGCATTTTCAATTAATTCACATACTATATATATTTTTATTATATAAAATAATAAAACAAATTACCAACCATGTGCAAATTAAATTTATAGTATTTTTGTTTTCCTATTCCAACTACTCCAAATAACAATTTTTTTTTATGCTATCAGCTACATTGTAAATTAACATTTTTGCTTTATTAGAATTGAATATAATTATTGTTATTTTCAAATTTATTTTTCCGATAATTTCTCATGGTTCAGAAAACAACTTAGAACATATAAAATCAATTTTTCTTTAGTTATAAAATTTGATACATTTTTATTTTAAATTAATGTTTAATAAAACTGAATTATTTGCTAATTAAAAATATATTAAAAAAATATAATCGATACAATTGCTACGAATCTAATGGCTTGTAAACTACAATGATTATTAAATTATACAATGCTATGCGTTCAGCATATTTAATTTCTAATTAATTTCTCGTTTTTTCGCTTGAATAGTTTATTAAAAATGCTATCAATAACATCAATGTTCACAAGAAAATCACATTTTGTTATTATAATAATTTCAGAATAAAAACTTAACAAATTAATTACATTTTTTTTTAAATACCAAGGAGATTGTTACAAATATTATGTTTAAAACTTAATTATGTGACAAGGAATTTTTGACTTTTGTCTTTCAGTGATTATTTGATAATAAAATGACTTTTTTTTTTATTATTAAAAGGAAACTTTGTTAACAATTAGTTTCGACAATTATGTTTGCAAAAATATTACATAAAGGTATATAAAGTTAACGACAGAAGATATATTACAAATAAATTAAATTTTTAAGCCAGCCTGGTTGATGAAGAATATAAGTGAGGTAATAATTGGTATAATTGGTGAAGAGAGGATGGATTGGGTGTCGAGAGGGACAGTAAAAGAGTGGATTAGGGCGAAGAGGCTATTGCGTTGGGGACAATGAAAAAGTATGTGTGAGATATCGCAAATCATGGGATCATGAGCGTGTAGCATGCATAAAGGGGAGTCATTGAGAGAAAGTTTATAAGAGTGTGTCCAAATCTTAAGCGTGAAAAAGAAGTAATTATGTTACG